TCTGGCTGTCTGTCTGTCTGTCTAAGGGTTCGTGGTTTGTGTTATTATTTATGAAGTTAGCGTTTAACTCCCCTTAATTGTCTACTTTGCGTCCATTTTACTGTGGCTGCACTTTCGGCTCTATATTTCCCAATAAACTTAACTGTAGAGCTATACGCACGCGCATATCTATATTGGGCATTTCGTTGCTTCTTAGTTACTTGTTAGGACCTCCAATTTTCTACACACATCCTCCACTTCACCTAACACTTCTTATGTGCTATGGACGTTCAAATCGTCCCTTTATACTGCGACTTAATCTGGAGTGAACTTATACAAACTCCTGGAATATTCTTGGAGTGTGAAATATTTTTGTGGGACGCAGCTTCGATGAATATACCATTGCTACTTTCACCTGATAAACCTTCATGATTGGACATTAGTCTATGTTTAGTATTTGCTTAGTAAGCGATTCTCTTTTTAACGTTTGCAACGAAGACGTTTCGTGAAAATGATGCTATTCATTAATAGCTTGGGTCTCCATTTCATCGAATCTGCAAAACGGTATGGTGTTAATCATTAAAATTTTAGAGAAGGAGGTTCGGTCCTAATTTGACAGACAAGCAGGAATATATTCACTATGAATACTATGAGACTAATCGTAATGCCATTAGCTCCCATTTGTTTCACCCATTGCAGTGCCGTTGAAGTAGCAGTCATAGGGGATCCCCGGATTTTGTTATTTTTTAGTGGAATCGCTTTGTTTGGGCTTGCATATTACTCGGGTACTTATTGGACTTCTGCTGTGATTCGCCATCTCTTCTCAGCATTGTATATCATTTACATTCACAAGGACTTTTTTACACCACGTGCTACCTATATATTAATCCAGCCCTTATTTCTATGACAGAACTCATGGACGGTCAACAATACCAGCTGCCAGGAGCGGCTGCTCTTCGAAAACCCTCGGTTATGCCATCGTCACAACAGCAGCAACCAGTAATGATGCAGCAGCAACAGCAGCAGACACAGATGATATCCCTGGGGCAGGAAACCTTTGTCTTTGAGCCTCTTGAAGGTCAGGCCATTCCATCTACCCTGCTGGAACAGCAGACACGCGCTCCTGAACCCTTCACTGGATCTAGTTCACAGGCTCGTGGAGCCACAATGCAGGAAGTTTTTGTTCAGGTTAATGTTTGTGTATAAATTAATTTGGAAATGCGTTATTCTGATGTTTATTTGTGAGAATAGTAGTAAAAGCCAAATTTACATTTACAACTAGGCAAATGAGTGAAATTATAGGGTTCTAATGGCG